AATATTATTTGATATGTGATTAAATTTTCATTTTTGATCAAAAATAAAATTATTAAAACTAATTTTTTAAATAAATTCTTTATATTAAACTATAAAGAATAAAAATATTCAATAAATTCTTTATATAAAGTGATTAAAATTTTATGTTTAGAAAGTTCATATATGCATTACTTATGTGGCTTTTTACACCTAATATATATGACACATAATTTAAGACATTAAATATGAAAAATTATTTTGGTATCAAATATATGAATAAATTTAATTATGAAATATTTATATTCATTTTTATAATAATACTTTTCACGATTCAATATTTTTTCTTCATTTCTAACAAAATTTTCAATTACTTAATACATTACTTTCTTCGGCTCTAAATAATTTTCACATGATTGTTTGTTTATGATAAGTTAAAATGAAATTAGCTTCGATTATATTTCTTTCAATATTGATATGAAATAAAAAAACAAGCAACATATCTTAAAAATTACATTAATCATTTTTTTAAAAAAAAAGAGATGGTTGGGTTATAATAATAATGTTCAAGTATATTTCTGTTTATAATATGATTAAATGAATTATATTAATTATTTATTTGAATATAAAAAATAAAATGAAAAATAGCTTTAAGTTAATGCGGAGTATTCTATAAAACAAGAGGTGTCTAAATTATTTTTTAAAGGATCAACTGTTTAAATCAAATAAATTTAAAAAAATATTTTCATAGGCTTGAATAGTTTCTTATTCAAACATAAAGTAAAAAAAGAATTACATGAGAGTTTGCGAAATGTATTTATAAATTTTCATTCAAAATCATAAGACTGCTAATATTTTTTGTATTATTTTTTGTTTGAATCAATGCATTAGAGAACAATCATTGAAATTTTGATGTTTATTTAATTTGTTTTTTAAATCATACAATGTATAATTCAAGATTTAACAGCAAAGTGAACCGAGACAAATAATCAATAACAACCTAACATGGAAAAAGTAGAGTTGGAATTTTCTAAAAAAATAATTTTCTTTTGACCAAATTGATCCTAAGAATTATAATCCAAAAGAATATAATCTTAAAAAGTTGAAGAAAATTTTTACAATTGACACAAATTTCGTTCAATCTGGTGCGTGGCACATGCTAAAATACTAATCATTTACTATAATATTTGAGACTCGCTTCATGAAAGTTTGATAAGTGGACAAAATACTTGACCATTTTTTGACACGTCATCATGTCATGTCATTTTTAGAAAATGTGCTAATAATTATATTTAAAGCTATTACTACCTCCGTTCCATTTTATAACGCCTGTTTCGGTTTACGATGTTTGACTGAAATTATTTTCAAACCATTTTATATGACAAATGGTATAGAATTAAAAAATAAAAATTACATATTAAAAAACTACATCAAAAGATCTACAAAACTAGTAGTGACAAGAATATTTTATTTTATCAAATTGCTAACGAAAATAGAGAAAGAAAGTGAATGAAGTTTGACCCTATGAATAGTAAACATGCATTATAATTTGGGACGGAGGGAGTACATTTTTATTAGTTATAATTACTCATTTTATTACTTTAATAAAACAATTATGTGTTTTTTATTTTAGGCCTTAGTTACCTTATTAAAAGTTCACGTTTTTGCCTTAACTAAAGCTAATTTGGGGTGGTACTTTAATGGGAGAAAGACCAAAGTAGGACTAAAACATTGAAAATATACCAAAATAGAACTTCCATGTTTTTATTCTTGAGATATGACTTACATTACAAAACATGGTCATATACATTACCAAGAAAGTATAGTAATTTGCACATGTACACTGCCACATTACCACAATGCAAAGTCACATTACTACAGTGCAAAGTCCTATTCTGGGAAAAAAAACATGAAAGTCTTATTTTGGTACTTTTCTCTATGTTTTAGTCCTATTTAGGATGATTTCTATACTTTAATTTAAATATAAGTTTTAATTATGATTAAATCCAAATTTTTGCCTTATTTAAAGTCAACTTTTACTGTTTACCAAGTTATAAATATATAAATTTAAATATAATTTCTTGCATTATGTAATATTCATAATTTTTAATCGATGATTTTAATAATTATTGCCTTATGTAATTTAAGTAATTTTTACCTCATGATTTTAGGAATTATTTCCTTATCTGGTTTTTGTTATTCTTTTGTTTACTTTTTTTTTTTTATATATAAGAAGATATGGAGTAAAGATTTGATTCGACCACATCCAACTAAGAAAACTAAAATTTAATTGATAATTTTTTAAATTTCTTAAGGAAATAGTGGAAATACATATTAAAAAAATACAAGATCTATCAAAGATCTATCAAAGTAAGAGGAAAAGAAGAAGAATTAAGAAAATTAAAATTTAATTGATGTGTTCTTTTTGAATTATTTTTGAAGAAATAGTGGAAATACAAAAAACTAGAAATCACTTTAATTTTTAATTTTGTTTTGTAGAACTGTTGATGTAGTTTATGCATGCATCTCTTGTTTTGTAGAACTGTTGAGGTATTTTCTAGATTTTGGTTCAGGTGAGAAAGCGATCTTATGAAAGAAATAAGAATGAATCTAGTGTTTTAGATTGTGAGATCTAAGGGTTAGGATTGCATCAAAATTAGGTGCACCAAAATGGTTTAAAAATGCATCGCGTCGAAATGCACCAAAATCCTTTGAAAATGCACCATCTCAAATCTGAGCGCATGATGCAATCTGAGCCGCACGATACATCAGATCCAAAGGCTAGATTTTATTCTTATTTCTTTCACTAAGGTGCATTCTCATGTGAACCGGCCCCCATATATAGGGGCCGGTTCCCGTGGGAATGCACCTTGTGGAGAGAAATGAGAATAAAATCTAGCCGTCAGATCTGATGCATCGTGCGGCTCAGATTGCATCCTGCGCTCAGATTTTGAGATAGTGCATTTTCGAAGGTTTATGGTGCATTTCGACGTGATGCATTTTCGAACCATTTTGGTGCATCTAATTTTGATAAAATCTTGACCCTTAGATCTCATAATCTACCGCACCAGATTCATTCTCATTTCTCTCCTAAGATTGCATTCTTACCAGAACCAATATATATATGTGTGTGTGTGTGTGTGTGTGTGTGTGTGTATATATAGACATACACACACACATTTCAATTTTTTATTTTACCCTTATTTTTATATAAATTCATTTAAAAATAAATTCAATCAAACATCGTAAAACACAATAGGCAACTTCAAATAGAACAGATGGATTAAAATTTTATTTTTAAATTTTGTACATACAAATAAATAGATTTCAAAATAAAGTCGGTCTAGTCTCGTAAACCGAAATGAGAAATTCAGTTCTTGATGGAGAGAGTATTTAAAAACATACTACATATGTTTCATAGTCTTCCTCCAATTTATTTTTTGAACCAAATTAAACGAACTATGATCCTCAATTAAATAAAAATGGTAATACTCCTTCTATCTACGAGAAAGAGTAAACTAGTACGGAAGGCCAGTATATAGTGGCTCATTGTGACATTGCTAACTTCTATCTTGATGTCAAAAATATAGAACTCTTATTTTTAGAAATTCTCTATGTTTTACTTCTATTTTAGGTGCTATTTTAAAAAAAATTCTCACGTTTCATGTTGCGATATTTGAGTGAAATTATTTATGATTTATTTTATATAAAAATTGGTGTGGAATTTAAAAATAAAAATGACTCCATATACATTTTTTAAAAACTATATAAAAAAATCTACAAAATTAGAGGTGACATAAATATACATATTATTTTATCAAATAAACAATGAAAATAGTTAAAGAAGGTGAATATAGTTTAACCCTGTGAATAGTGAACGAGATGCTACCTCGTGGAGAGAGGGAATATATATTTGAGAACAAAAATTAATTAATTAGATTTATATCGTGAAAAACTTTTAGAAATATATTTCATTGTATTAATATGCAACACAATTTTTGACATAATTGTATGATTAGAATTCGTCCAATTTTGACTCAAAGATAATCAAACTAAAGAAATGTTTGAGACGAGGGAGTTAATATTTAAAATTTGAAATAATGGATACGTTTAATAGAACTTCATCAAAGAAGTAAATTAAATTCATGTGAAATATAATACCTTTTTTGTCCCAAAAAGATTGTCAAAGTTTAACTTTTAGGTCAAGCTATGAAACACTTTGACTAGAAATTATGAAAAAATATATTTAGTTAAAATGTAAATTTAATAATATTGAGTAAATTTTAAAATATACGTTCGATACGTCAAATTTTTATAACATTAATTATTTAGAAATATATTCAAGTCGTGGTCAAATTATTGCGACGGAGGGAGTATTGTAATTTTAGGTGATCATTATTTGTGTAATTTATTCATTCATACTTTCACGAGACATTATGTACTTAAGGTAATTTATCTAAATAGGACTAAAACATAATGACTTTCTCAAAATAAGGACTTATTGTTTTTATTTTCCAATGTAAGACAATTAGTCATAATCTATTAGTCATTATTCAACTAAATGTCCAACACTTGTACATTATTTTTTTAACTAGTCATTATTAAATTCTATTTAGTGAATAAAAAAGTTTAAGTCCCCAATTGAGAAATGACTTATGTTTTAGTCTTATTCGGTGCAAATTTCACATGTACTTAAGATGCTTTTGAATTAGTCATCACTTTTTTTAAAAAGTACATTATTTAGTCTTCACTAATTAGTGCAAAACAATATTTTGAATAATAATGATGATGATGATAATGATGATGATGATGATAACAACAACAATAATAATAACAACAATGTGATATATAAGCGAGAGATTCCAAGCGAGGTGGATGAATAACGGTACTGTAGTTCATCTTGCTTCCCCATCTCCCGCCAACCTCTGTATTCGAACCCGTCTTCTCTCTATCCCTCCCTCCCTCTCTCTCTGTGCGATTAAACGACCCAAAAGAAACCCAATTCTTGAACTCAGATTGACCAAGATAAACCATTCTTGAATTCAGATTGGCCAAAAAGAGAAAAAAAAATCCATTCTTGAATCGCAGAAGTTGGGGCCGCAAGAATCAACAATGGAGAATCCATTCTTGGATACCCGAGCGACTTCCAGTGCTGTGGATTGTTTCGTTCTTTGGGACAAGGTTGAAAGAATCGGGTACCGTCGTCTGACTCGTCTCGGAGACCCCTTCCGACCAACAATCGGCGAAGACTCAGACTACTTCCCGGTGTACAAAGTCCACGAACTCCCCACCGTCTTCAATGATCTGAAAGGGACCGGCGATTTCTCGTCCATGAAGTTGATTCCCAGAAGTTCACAACCCGGATTCGTCAAGGAAATCCTTTCAAGAAACAGAAACCTTCCCGAGGATCATGAGAATCTCATCATCCCGGTGATGTCCAACTTCGTGGAAATGGACAGCGGTGAGCTCTGCATAGTCATGCCGTTCTTCAGCCTCAGATCTCTCCGGTCAGCCATGGTGGCTAAGTTCCCCGGCGGGTGTTGAGTGTGAAGTCAGGAAGCTAGGTGGAAACTAACAGTAAATTGACAGGAAACTACCTAGAAGCTTCTAACTTCCCTAATCATTGTGCTCTCCTAATTATTCTCTATTTAAGAGATGCTAATGTGCTTGTAATTGTGGTGCAACAACAAATAATAAAATCCTCCTAGTTGCCCCGTGTGGACGTAGGTTGCAGTTGGCGGCCGAACCACGTTAAATTCTGTGTCGTTTATTTTTCTGCAGTTGATTCGTGATTGTGTGTTGTTTCCGCGTGCCTTTATTCCCAACAGCGGGCTGCCGGAGGCCTGCATCTCCGTTTCCCTGAGATACGTCCTCAAGGCCCTCCGTTTCCTCCACGCCGCAGGGGCTGTCCACAGAGACGTCAGCGCGGGACACGTCTACTTAGAAGAGGGGCCTAAAATCGCGCTGGGCTTCGCGGCGGCCACGCTCTACAACCTGCACAGTGCTGCAGAGTTTCAGTATCCACCTTCTTCCTCCCTGCCCGCCACCAGGATTTCTGACTGGGCAGCTGCCCCGGAGGAGTACAACTTTGGATTCCAAAGAGAGAACTATAGCACCAAAGCCGACGTTTGGCTCGTGGGAATCGTGGCGCTGGAGTTAGCCTACGGAGAGATCGCCGTCCAGGACCGCGGAGCCCTGGAAACGAAAATCAGGGCAATAACAGAGACAAGAAGGCTTCCCAAGAAGCTCGGACCGGAGGTACAGCAGCAGCGCGGCGCATCAGTAACAACGACCTCACGGCGCAGCGGGGTGGGCATGAAGAGAAAGGCAAAGATGATAGAGACCCCGGCAGAGGAAGGAGGAGGAGAAGAAGAAGAAGAAGACCAAGGGTTGTCTTCGTTTTCAAGGGAGTTTGTGGAATTGGTGGCACAATGCCTGGCCTGGAACCCAGAAGATAGGCCTTGTGTTGATGCCCTTCTGAACCATGATTTCTTCTGAACCAAAAAGGGGTTGAAGAGGTCCCAGTTAAAGTCACACTTCCAAGACCTTCTCACTGGGCGGGGTGAAAAGAAATCCGAGATTCTTGGTTATTGTGGCATGATTTATTCTTTTATAAAATGGTGTAGGTATCGTTCTTTTAGTTTGATTTTTAATTCTGCAAAAAGCAATGTAAAATTTTTACATTAACCAAATCAAAATTCCCAAAAAGAAATCGAATCCTTATTCCGCCAAAGAAACTCGATCAAAGTTTAAACTTTAAAAAAGGGCTAATCTATACATCTATACATTATTTAAAAAGACATAAATTTTTTCCCGCTCATGACACTCATATATGGAAAGTGTTGACAACATAAATGGTAGTTTAATTTTTTTACCTTAATGTTTTCCTTCCATTTTAAGTATGTTTTCATTTTTATTTTTATTTAAATGTTACACCATTTAAGCATTTAAATTAAATTAAACTAAATAGTGGTGAACCATTGGGGAATTGAAGTATGGAAATAAAATACATTGCCATTTAAATATTAAAATAAAATCTAAAAATTACAAATTAATAAAGTATGGACATGATTAAAATTATTTATTTCAAACAAACTACGAATTAATTATTTATCATTAAAAAATATTATAATTTACAAGCATGGTAACGTGTAAAAATGGTAAGTTTTCTAAAATAGATTAGAAAATAAATATGGTACGATTACTAGATGATAACATTTAAATAAAAGAATAAAATAAAAAACTACAAATTAATATTAATACTATAATCTAACAGAATGGAAAGGTTTTATAAATGACAAATGTTCTAATTAGAAAATAAATAGATATGGCATGGTAAGCAATTAGAACCACTTAAAAACGAAAATAAAATAAATGGTAAGTTTTCAAAAACAAATTAGGTCAGTGTTCTAAAATAAAAGAGAAAATAAAATATTTCATCCGTCCCCAATTTGATTACAAATTGCGGATTACGGAGTAAAATTTCTTACTTTTTGAAATCATTTTAATTATTTACAAATTGATATATCAATAAGATATAAAAATTACATATTAAACAACTACGTCAAAAGTTCTACAAAACAAGAAGTGATAAGAATATTTTATTTTATCAAATACTTAATAAAATCGCGTAAACAAACAAAAGTTATCGAGAGAAGAGAGAGAAAGATTGTAATATATTTAGGACAGAGAAAGTACATCTAAAAATAATAAGTGTTCTAAAATAAATTAGAAAATAATGTGGTTTGGTAAGTAATTAGTACGATTTAAATACGAAAATAAAATAAAAAATTGCAAAATTAATATTAATGCTATACTTTAAAAACATGATTTTTTTTAAAAAAGGTAAGTGTTAAAATTAGAAAATTAGAAAATAAATACGGAATGGTATGTCACCACGATAAGCAAATGGTACCATTTAAAAACAAAATAAAATAAATGGTAAGTGTTCTAAAATAAATTAGATAAGTGTTCTAAATAAATTAGAAAATAAAATAATTATTAAAATGATAAGTATTCTAAAATATATTAGAAATAAATATGGTACGGTAAGTAAATGATACTCACCATTTAAATAAAAAAATAGAAACTAAAAAATAATACTATCAATTAATACTACTCTCTCCGTCTGAGAAAAGTGTTTCTATTTTGACTTTGTGTAAAAATAAGGAAATATTAAATTGTAGTTGACTTTCAATTTTACCCTTGATGTGATAGGTAAAAGTAAGATGTGATTGATAGATTATTAGAGATAAAGTATGATGTGATAGGTAAGGTATGAAAAAGTAATGGTAAAAGTGGTTTTTTAATAGAAAGTGGAAGTGTTTTGTTGGAAGTGAAAAAAATGAAAGAGGAAGTATTTTAAAAAACGGAGTGAGTACAATTTACAAGCATGGTAACCTGTAAAAATGGTATGTGTTATGAAATAAATTAAAAAATAAATATGGTACATTAAGCAAATGGCATAATTTAAATGCAAAATTTAAAAAATTATAAATTAATACTATTAATACTATAAGCATCGAAACATGTAACAATGGTATAAGTATTCTAAAATAAATAATATTAATACTATAATTTACAAACATGGATACGTGTAAAAAAATAGAAAATAAATATCATAGGGTAAGTTAATGGTACCACTTAAATACGAAAGTAAAATTAAAAAAATACAAATTCCAAAATAAATATATTAATATGTTGAATTATTGCTTAGATAAGTCAGATTATTGAATTATTGTCAAGAGCAATATTTGAAACATATTGAATTATTTTTACGGAAACTGGTATTTAGTCATGAGAAAGTGTATGTTACAATTTAAAGAGTAATATATCGCAATGACTTGAAGATTCTGATATACAACGAAGTAAATACTCACACAAATTATACATACGAGTGATGTAGTTTATAAATAAGTCTTTCAAAATTTGTAAATCATTTTTACTTTTGTACTTTAAAATAATGAAATCTCTATATTCCATTATATACCAATTTATATTCCTAAAAATAATCTTAAGTTAGTACCGTAACTATGACCCGTGCAACGCATTGGTGTGATACTAGTAGCATAAGCGCCCCCATAAGCGCCCCCGTGGTTTACAAAAAGGGGGTCAAAGCCCCCTATATTTTCAAAAGTTATTTGTAAAGTCTCTATAGTTTCTAAATAGAGCACACATGCCCCGCTTACCTATTTTTAAAGCAAAAATAACATTTATGCCCTTTTTTTCTCGATCTTGAATTTTCCCAATGTTATTCTCTTTTATTATACAAATATTTAAAATAAAATATACGTTGCACATCTCAAATTAAAATTTTCCATAATGTATTTTTGAAAACAAAAGATTTCTTTGGAGAATGTAACAAAAGAAAATGAAAAATAAATTATTATGTACAAAGTAAAAATTATAATTGAAAAAAGGTAATGAAAAGAAAGAAAATTATAAAAAACAGTCTTTTTCTTTAACTCTGTATTTAATTTAATCTCTCTGTTCTTCATTTTTTAAAGTTCTTAAAAAATTATATTACTTTTTTTTAAAAAAAAGTTAGAATGTTTAATTAGAGATAGAGTGAGTATATGCTATCTAGTTTTTTATTTTATTTATTTTACTTTTATTTTTAATGAAAAAGTATATTTTATTTCATTTTTCATTTTCTTTTATAAGATTTTCTCAAAAAATTATTTTTTTTGAAAATAAAATAAATGAAAATTTTTAATTTGAGAAAGAGAGCGTATATTTTATTTTATTTATTTGTATAACAAAAAATGAAAATAAAAGAGTGAGACTAAAAGATAGAGAAAAACAAAGGATATTAATGTCATTTTATATCTTAAAAAAGGCAAGAGGGCGTCTGTGCACTATTTAAAAACCACAAGGATTTTACAAATAACTTTTGAAAGTAGAAGGAGGGCACATGAAAATAATGGGAGAAGAAGGAGGGTCATGCTACATTTACACCACAAATTATACCTCATTGGTACACCAGAGTAATACACAAACATTTTGATGGTTTACATCGACATAAGTGTTGGTGTGTTAACAAAAAATTTACACAGACACAAAGTGTTGGTGCATTAACAAAAATTAGTTTTACACCAACACAAGATATTGGTGCAAACCTGCGGGGTACAAAGTGGAGTACAAAAATTGGGGTACAAATAGCTTTATCCGAAGAAGAAATACTGGACTAGAGGGAGAGAATATTTTTGACGTTCTAGATGCAAACGATAAAAATTGCTGAGAGGTACTTTGACCAAACACCGACGATTGGGAGAAGATGTGCAGTGGCCATGGTAAGCTCGAGAGAAAGAGAGAGTGAGAGACGGAGGAAACGGAGATCGACGGAAAGAACAAGAATTAGGGATTCGTACAGATTTGCTACTAGCCCCTTGGACTAAACAGCAAAAATAATAATACCTTGGCTTCATTCAAATGATGTGGCAGAAGGCCACGCGTCTGTTTCTTATTGGGACAACTAGAAAGTGTTTTTGAAACACTCTATTCCCGATTCCTTTAGTGTACCTTTAGAGTAGAGTGTTTCAAAACACTCTCTAGTTGTCCCAATAAGAAAGAGACGCGTGGCCTTATGCCACATCATTTGAATGAAGCCAAGGTAATCAATAGAACGCTTCATATATAGGTGTGTAATTTCATGTGATTTTTATGTTTGCAACCCAACAAACGGAGTTCTCTACATTCAAGTCAACCATGAGGGTCTCCGTCCAGTGCGCTTCGACCCCACGCGCCACTTCTCCTCCCTGAGGAGCACCTCCCTCTTCTTGTCTGGCGCAGTCGCGGGGCACCTTGGCCAGGATCAGGAATCCACCGTTCGTCTTATTTCTCGGGTGGCGGAGCACGTCTTTCCACGGGTGGCGCGTGGGACTTGCGGAGTATGCATATTGGTAGAGTTTTGGGTTCACGAATTCCCGGATTTTGCGCTTCAAGGTCAGCTTCTTGCCTCTCTGCTGCCGCCGCCGCCCTACGAGGATGGAGAGTACGGTAATTCTCTTCCCGAATTGGTGGGGGAGAATGCCGGAATGTCGGAGGTGGAGATTTCTCTGCTGACGAAAGAGACCCAGAGCGGCGGCGGCGGCGGCGAAGCGTGCTCCATCTGCCTCGATGAGTTCTCCGACGGGCAGGTGATCACGCCACTCTCTCCGTGCTCTCACAAGTTTCATGCCGCGTGCATTACGGCTTGGTTGGGGAAGAAGCGGACATGCCCTATGTGCCGAGGAAGCATAGCTCTTTGATGATCCGCGGTGGCCGGAAGTTGCCGGCGAGGCAGAACCCGTCCTATTACCGGCGGCGGCGGCGGCCCAATGCTACTAAAGTCCAAAACATCTTGTTATTTGTGTTTTTTTGCGACCTTACCCTACTAGCATGGACCCACAACTCCCAAGTCACTAGCACTAAACAAATTTTAATTTTGTACTTCTTTCGTGCCTCGTGTATTAGTTGACATTTTTGAATCCATAAAATTTGAGTTCCATTTAAACCATAGTTTGACTTTTTTTTATCATATTAAGGATTTGTTTGGGAATAACATTAGAGATTAGCGTTAGCGTTTTGGATAAAATTTCAACGGTGCAGATTACTTTGAAAACGTTGTCCGTATTATTTTTAATTCTAAGTATTTGTCTAGTTTTAACTTTTTAGTCAATTATTTTTTAACCTTGACGTATAATTAAATAAATAATATTGTTCTATTAGTTAGATAAAATAATATT